GTCTATGGAAACTGGGAAAAAAAGTCCAAGAATAGGCCAGAGAAGATACTGCTCCTTTTTCTGGGGACCGGCAGAGTTTCCATACAAAGGTCCAAACACCCAGCACTCACAGGGGTTGGCAGCAGTGTGGATAGCAGTGTGCTTGATTTCACATAGTAGGTGGGCTTTAAAGAGTTGGGAAGATCAAGCAAGCTGCAAATTGCTATTTGTTACTCACTTAACATTTTTGCAATTTTCCAAGTGCCTTTGCTTCAATTTTGAATGATCTTCCCTTGAATAGTGTGAAGTTTCTGGTTCTCCTTCCTCCCTGCCTCCTGGGCTTCTCTTTGTGGTCCCTTCTCTTCTCTTCTCTTCCCTTCTCTCCTTCCGTCCTTCTCTCTCTCTCTCCCCCTGCTTCCTTCCTTCTTTCTTTCTTTTTTTCTTTTTGACAGAATCTCGCTCTGTTGCCCAGGTTATAGTGCAGCATCATAGCTCACAGCAACCTCAAACTCCTGGGTTTAACTTTTTTTTTTTTTTTTTAGACAGAGCCTCAAGCTATCTCCCTTGGTAGAGTGCCATGGCTTCACAGCTCACAGCAACCTCCAACTCCTGGGCTCAAGCGAGTCTCCTGACTCTGCCTCCCAAGTAGCTGGGACCACAGGTGCCCGCCACAACGCCCGGCTATTTTTTGGTTGCAGCTGTGATTGTTGTTTGGCGGGTCTGGGCTGGGGATTCGAACCCGCCACCTTAGGTGTACGTGGCTGGCGCCTTAGCTGGTTGAGCTATAGGCGCCGAGCCAAACTCCTGGGTTTAAGAGATCTTCCTGCCTCAGGTTCCCGAGTAAATAATTTTTCTATTTTTAGTAGAGACAGGGGTCTTGTTCTTGCTCAGGCTGATCTCCAACTACTGAGTTCTCGTGATCCTCTTGCCTCAGCGTCCTGAGTAGGTGGTACTACAGGCACCTGCCACCATGCTCAGCTCTTTTTTCTTTCTTCTTCTTTTTTTTTTAAACAGAGTCTCACTTTGTTGCCTCAGACTAGAGTGCCCTGCTATCATCACAACTCACAGCAATCTCAAACTCCTAGGCTCAAGTGATCCTCTTGCCTCAGCCTTTTGAGTATCTGGGACTACAGGCGCCCCCCACAATGCCTGGATAGTTTTTAAGAAATAGAGTTTCACTTGCTCAGGCTTGTCTTGAACTCCTGAACTCAAGCAATCCACCTGCCTCAGCCTCCCAGAGTGTTGGAATTACAGGTGTGAGCCACCATGCCTGACTGCCTGGCTAATTTTTTTTAATTTTTAGTAGAGGCAGGGTCTTGCTTTTGCTTGAGGATGGTCTCAAACTTCTGACCTCAAGGGATCTGCCTGCCTCAGTTTCCCAAAGGGTTACAGGCATGAGCCACTGTGCCCAGTCAAGGCAAAACACTGTAGTCTGCCCTTGGAGGATTTTTGGATGCTGGGGAGGTTCTCTACGAGAGCACAGGAGATATATAGCTCACCTCTCCCTACTTCTGAAAAGTTGAGGATGGAAACAAAGAGTGAGACAGGCAAGAGGCCAGGTCGGAAGGAACAGTTTTAGGTCAGGTAGTCATGTGGGATGGGCTGGAAGTCTCACATCAAGAGCTGTTTCCACCCATTTGCAGGGGCTGGAGGCAAATTCCCTGCAAGGCTGTGGGAATGCTGTAGGCTGCTTCTCCCAAGAGGAAGAAGGTGGTGGAGCTGAGCCCAATATGCCCAGTTTCCCTGCCCAAACTTAACTCTACATCATCAGACACCAAAAGGCCAGGAAATGGTCCTCATAGAATCCCAGAATGGGGAAGGGGCATTCTCTGACCATTAATGGAATGGTTCACCATTAAATAACTGGCTGATTTTATCTTTACATTTTCACAAATTGGATTTTCAGTAAGTGGGGCACAGTCAAATCCAATAAATAGATATCAAGCACAATTCTGTACTTACTAGTTGTGTAATTTGGGGACAGCTTCTTAAGTCTCAATTTTCTCATTTGTAAAAATGAGGATAACAGCACCCACCTGGTGCGATAATTTATGTAAACACTTATTGCTCTGCCCAGAGCAGAATAGCCCTTAATAAATGTTTACTGCTACTGCTGTAATGATAACTTCACTATCAACTTGCTATAGAATCTGTCAGGTGCTGGGAACGTAAAGGGTAAGCCCCGCCCAGTAAGGATATAGATATTAAAATACAATGCAATGCCCACATAGCAGGGTTTCTTACCATAAGGATGTCTGACAGTGATTACATAATAGTGAGAGTATAGCTGTGTAAGGTAAGACCCCCCCCACACACACACAAATTGGGACATGTTGAGCCTTCCACACCCTTATTGGGTAGGGGGTCAGGTAAATAGTCTCAATTGTTCTTTAAGGAAGGTATCAGGGGGCGGTGCTTGTGGCTCAGTGAGTAGGGTGCCGGCCCCATATACCGAGGGTGGTGGGTTTGAACCCAACCCCAGCCAAACTGCAACAAAAAATAGCTGGGCGTTGTGACAGGTGCCTGTAGTGACAGGTGCCTGTAGTCCCAGCTACTCAGGAGGCTGAGGCAAGAGAATTGCCTAAGCCCAAGAGCTGGAGGTTGCTGTGAGCTGTGACACTAAGGCACTCTACCAAGGGTGAAAAAGTGAGACTCTGTCTCTAAAAAAGAAAAAAAAGAGAAAGGTATCAGAAAACCTCCTATGCTTTTAGTCTTTTTCTTTTTTAAGGGAGCTAGTCACTAGTGAGGAATAGAAGCACAAATCCTTATGGGGGTGAAACCAGCCCTGAGTTAGCACTCCTGAGCACAGCTCCCTGGGAGGATGCTAAGTGAGGGTACAGAAATAGCTGGTCACTTGGGAGTCGGACATCTGGAGCCTAACTTGGCAGTGCCTGAGGGCCCTTGGGTCAGGGTGACACTGGGGCAGGCTATAAAGGTCCCACTCTGCCTCTGATTCTGACACTGTGCTGACACCACTGTCCCTGTGTGTCCCTGGGACAGTGCTTTGTGCCCATTACTTTCTGTCTTCTGCTAAACAGCTTTTTCTGTGTGCTGCCTTGCCCACATCACACTCAGCAGCTGCTGCCCCCTCATCCTGCTGTAGCCCAGATGTCCTCACTGGTGGTACTAGAGTGATGGGACTTTGCCAGAAGCCCTTCCTGTGAGATAGTGCTGGAGTCTGGGCAGCCCACACCAGATAACAAACCAAGCACCTTCCAGAAACCAGTGACATGGGCCACTGTTGCCGCATTCACTCTTCTGCCTCTGTCGTTAGCTGAGCCACTTCTCCCTTAGGCCCCCAAGCTTCCCTCTCAGGGCCCAGGTAAGCACAGTGAATCCTGTGTGCATCCACGGGAGGTAGCTGACAGAGTCTGGACCTCTGGGTTTTCTGTTATCATTGCCTTGGAGGACACAAACATTTGCGCTCCAGGGAAGAACTGGGAGGCACAGTTGCACTCCAAACCATGTGGGAGGCATCTGGTTACTGATACAATAGCAGAAGCATGCCTGTGCTACAGTATGAAGACGTGAATTCTGTCAGGGGAGGTGGTGGGGAAGGCTTCTGAGCAAGACCTGAACAGGTTTTGGAAGTACAGGCAGGAGTTTACAAAGAAAGAATGGAGAAAGGGAGTCAGGGACAGGAAGACCAGCATGGCCCAAAGCATTACTAAACTGTGACACAGCTCTGGTGACATAGCTCTGCAGCCTCAGTGAACTCAAAGGAGGGTGTGCCCACTTTGCCACAGACAGTTTTGATGCATTACTTTCTTGTTTCAGTAATTCATGATAACCTTCCTTAGGTCTTTTCTGAGTACAGATTTAATATATGCAAGTATATGTAAAGTACTTAGAATTGTACCGGGCACGTGATTCGCACTATTTGGTTTGTCTGTCTGTTTTTAGGGGCTGAGTCTTAGTCCAAGGCCAACTTTTGGCACTTAAATAGGTTAACTTTTCTCTTTATAAGATGTAAAAATATTCCCAAGCCTAATTAAACATTCTTTCTTGTTTTATAATCTTGCCCACCTCAACCTCCATCCTGCAAAAATCCTCAACACTCAATTTTTTTCTTTTTCCAGAGACAGCGTCTCCCTCTGTGGGTTAGAGTGCAGCGGCATCATCATAGCTCAGTGTAACCTTAAACTCCCAGGGTCAAGCAATCCTCATGCCTCAGCTCCCCAGCAGCTGCCACCGTGCCCAGCTATTTTTTATTTTTTTATTTTTTGTCAGATGTGTGTGCGGGAGTCACCCTATGTTGCTCAGGCTGGTCTCCAACTCTTGGGCTCAAGGGGTCCTCCCACCTCAGCCTCCCAAAGTGCTAGGATTACCAGTCAACGCCACAAACCCCAGCCTCGTAAGCACTCAATTTGAAAAGCCGAACATTTTAATGAGTCAATCTGCGGAGCAGCACCAAACAAGTGCTCCCAAGCATAAAGGCAATTCCTGGACAAGGGCAACATTAGAAGTTTTGGTCTGGGGCTAAATTATAGGCAAACAGTATGTTAAAACAAGACTTGAAAATTTTCATGTTATTTCCAAATTTCATTTCAAAGCTTTTTTTTTTTAAGTAGCAATTTGAGCTCCTAAGAAGATCCTCTGTCAGGCGGCCTCGAGGAGGGTGGCTCATGGCTCAGAGAATCGGTGAGAAAGCAAGGAGCAGGGCTGGGTGTGGCGGTTCCCGAAGGCAAGTGCCACGTAGCCAGAGGCGCACGAACTAATTTGACATCTAAGACAGGCGAAGAGTAGGGGAAGGCTGGTCTGGATGTTAGGGCGGAAGGTTGAGGAGGAAGCAGACGTAAGGAGCCCTGCAGTCCTGGGACCGCGGGGCAGAGAGAGAGAGTGGGGCAGAGGGTCCCGGGCGCAGGCGGGATGATGTCAGGAGAGGAAGGTCACGCGTCACCGGGGATACCAGGCCGCCGCGTAGAGGCCAAGGCGACCCGGGCACTGCCGCACCCCAACCTGGCCGCTGACGTCACGACGCCGAGGCGGACGCCGGGCCAATGGGAGGCCCTCGCGGGCAGGGGCGGGGCCCAGGAGCTGGGGCCGGGCCTCGCTGAGGCGGTTGGCAGAGTTCTGCGCGGCCGCGGCTGGGAGGACCAGGATCGAGCCGGTGGCTGCGGACTCCCGCCTGCCCTGCGCCGCCCGCCCGCCTCCCCACCGCCGCATGGTGCCGACTGCTCACTGAGTGGCGGCGGCGAGGCGTGAGTTACGCGCCGCGGAGGCGGCTTGGGTCTAAGCTTCCCGTCGCCGGCACTTCCCCCTGCGGCGCCCGTGCGCGGCCGGGTGGGCTGGAGGGATGGCGGCCCCGGGGAGCGGCCGTGCATCGGCGCCCCGGCTGCTTCTGCTCTTGCTGGTTCCGCTCCTGTGGGCCGGGGTCCGGGCCGGCCCCGACGAAGACCTTAGTCACCGGAACAAAGAACCAGCGGCGCCTGCTCAGCAGCTGCAGCCGCAGCCGGCGGCCGTGCAGGGCCCCGAGCCGGCCCGGGCCGAGGTGAGCCGGCCGGGTAGGGCGGCGGGGGATGGGATGGGATGGGATGGGCGCGGCTGCGGAGCCGGCCCTGCCGGGTACCAGGCTGGGGCCCGCCGCCTTCCGCTCGGACGCGGGCTGGAGGAAGGGAGCCGATGGGCTGCGCTTTTTCCAGGCGAGGCCTGGCCTTGCCGGCCCCTTCTGGAGGGCGGAGAGCCCGGCAGGGAGCCGGCTGTGAGCCTGCAGTTCCCGGGGACCGAGATGCTGCTGGGCAGCGGGCGCCGTATTGCTCTGGTGTGTGGTAGAGTAGCTGGAAATCTAAGTAGAAACTTTTTAACAGAAGGCAGCAGGAAGACTTTATGTATTCCCTGAGGATAAATGACACCGACCCTTTCAGCGTTGAAACAGCTTATCCAAAACTGCTTACCCAAATTCAGCTAAGCATGGCCTGTGGTTTTTGCCAGATAAATTTGGATTATGAATCGTGACTCTCAGATCTCATAAATGTGCTTTGGCTTGCAGAAAGTAGCCGTTAGGAACGCAGAGGAATGATCAGTTTTTGACAGTACACAGCTGCAGTGGCTTGAGATGCCGAAACTAGATATAAGTAAACCAGGATTCTTTATTTTGTTTAGATATTAATTAATTTCTTAACCTGTATTAGTAGAATCACTCCTTTCTTAGTCACTTGGAAGCATTTCAAGATTTCTTCCCTCTGCTAGTCTTGGGCCCTTTGGCCATTTACAGTTTTGACTTCTCAATTCCGACCTCCTTAGTCTTTCCTGGCAGGGCGGGTCTGAAGCTCAACTGCCTCCTCCCACCCAGGCAGCCTCCACCGTGTCTCCACCCAACTAATCTTCCTTCCTTAACCTCGCATTTTACCATCTTCTCAGAAATGCTTGGTGACTGGCTCCTGCGTGCTGATTTCAGTCCTGCCTTTTTTAGCAGGGTGATATTCAGGTTTAATGATTTTGCTGCAGCCGCCCTCCAGCCATATGCTGTGCTCAAAAAATGGATGTGCTTCAAGAACCCTTAGGGACGTGCCATGTGCTCCCTTGCCAGGCGACTCTCTCCCCAACAAAAGACTTCCTCTTAAAAAAAAAAAAAAGGCCTAGAGCAGTGGGGACCTACTCTTTGTGAGGTCCTTTCCTAAAACTTCCTGGTTGAAAGTGAGTAAGTTACTTTCCACGTCGTTGAATGTTACCTTGTTACACGTTTCACCCTGGGGTCCCACAGACCGCGTGCAGATTATTTGAGGACTGTTTTGCTTATCCGTGGTGTTGGCTATGTTGGAAAGTATGCACAGACCTTTTTTTTCTTTTTTTGCTCATCAGCTGTCCTTAGTGTTTATGTATTTTTTTCAGAAAAGAAAAAAAAGAAAGGTTGGATCCTCCTGGCAGAGGATGGAAATTTCTGAGAGATTGATTTTGGTTTTACTAAGCGAGAACTTTCTAAGAATTAGAGTTATCCTGAATGTAGTAATCAATCTTGAGAAATAATGAAATTCTCCTTACCGGAAGTACTCAGAAAGAAGTTGAATAACTGATTACCTGTTAGGAGATTCCTGCATGGGAAGAAAGCTGGGATTTCAAGTAATGCAAGTTACTATTCTGTGGACTGACTCTGTACTTGCTCCAGCCAGTTAAGCAGGGGGAGCAGGGGCCATCTCCTTACAGAAGAGGAAACCTGGGTTTGGAAGGAGTGTCCTTCTAAAGCCACAGAGCTAGAAGCTCGTTTTCAGAAGAACCAGAATTAGAATCTGAATCTCTGTGTCTTACCAGGTTTTATTAGCATTCATTATATCATACTAGAAGTCTTTTAACCTGTTATATTTAATTCATTAATGAATTTTAGTGGTTTATTATTGTACAGTGTGCTGACATAGGTCTTTGGTCCTGAAGGCTGCCTTCCTTTCCCCTTTTGTGGGAGTGGATAACATTTTATTTCTGTCTTATGGCATGATTACACATACACACTGCTGCTTTGGGTGCCTGCAAGTTGCCTACATGCTTTATCTGCCCCACTAGCTTTCGAATGTCTTGAGAGCTCGGCTGTGGCTTTTTCTTTTTTCTTTGTCTCTTCCATTCCACAAAACCTTGCCTATCGGCATTTATTAAATAATTTTCTAGGAATGAACTGAAATGTTTGCATCTCAAGTTCATATCAGCTGTTAAATACCTTTATGGAAAAAATGGCTATAAAACTCAACCAGAATAAGAACTATTTTTAATAGTATCTTTCTAGCCTTTATTTTAGTTATCATCTGTTGCCTGAAAATGTGTTTATTTATTAATGGATTGGTGTTGATTTAGAAAATTTAGTTTCAGCTAATCATCTAGTTAAATTCTAGGACTCTGTAAAGTTTTACAAAAGTAAGAAAAGATCAAAAGCATTAAATAATGTCCCACTATAGCAGAGATACATAGTATAGTTCTGATCACAGGTGTACAAGAAATGCACATTGGTTTAAAACAGTAACTGAGAAAATGACATGAAGGCTATGTTGACCAGTTTGATGGAAGTATTTCAGATTGCATGTGAAAACCCCACACTGTACCCCAGAAGTGCA